ATATAACAGTTGTCTTATAATAGCACATAAAAATGATGCCGCTTCACTAATTTGGGCAATAGATTTGTCATTCTTCTGCCCTCCGGCTGAAACTGCATCGTCATGCCGAAAGTGTGCGCAGTGAGAGCTTAGCAACTGAGGTTTAATCACCGTCTCTCACCACGAAACATTAGAATCGCAAAGACCACGAGCTCTCTAGTTTTGTTACCGGTTGGTTTATTCCATCAGCTGCCTTACCTCTTCGTTTTGCAGACAGACAGGCCGACTTACCGAAAGAGACCCATTCATAGAGCGATTAGCAACACGAAGTCAGCGGTTTATATGATCTAACCAACACAATTGAGCAAAAAATTGAAGTTAGAACTCGAACTAGCATATTTTGTGCTAAATACCAGTCTATTGTCTTCAATTCCTCTCATTTCTCTGTGAACTTTGCAAAGTCGAACCCAACAACACCATCAATATGAGCCTCAAGTAAGCGCAAGATGAGAGATTGTAGAAATTTTTGCAGTGATTTGATTGTTCCAAAGATTTGTGTCGACTAATCCTCCCTAAAGGTGTAGGGGTTCAATTGGTCCTGACACGGTTCAAGTTCGAATGAAGTGCAAAAGTGCTGAATGCCGCACCTGCAGCTAGTGTTGACTAAATCCTTCAGGGATTTATTGTGGCATGATATGCGTTTCCTGGACTGGGGACAATTTCAAATACCCCTTTTAGCGATTTTTTTGAATTTTTTTCTCAATGCAACATTAATTGGGTAGAGAAAAAGCACCATGGCACTTCACTATAATACCTTATTCAGTCAGAAGCCTTCTCCCAGCCCATGGCACCAAGTAGAGTTTCTAGTGTAATTCATTTGGAATTGGTATGACATGAACGGGCGGGCTATTAATAGTGGAGAAGGGATTGCCTATGTCATTTCCCATGGGAAAACTCTTCCATACACCCACTTGATGTTCTTTTCCTGTTTAGGGTGGAGCCTATGCAGGCGTCAGCAAGCTCAAAGCCGCTGAATAGATTTCGGCTGTCCAACTTCGGGTGCGAGTGACCACTAAAGGCTTCCGCTCAAGTGCAACGCTATAAGCTTGACCGCTTGTTGCTCGACATCCAAAATGACTCTGGCCACTGATTCTTACCTTGTCAGTGAAAGCACCCGATAGGGTGGGAGGATCTTCTCATTGCCTGACGCTCCTTTAAATGGACTTCATCAGCTCTCACCCTCTCAATGCAACCCTTCTTCTTTCGGTTTAACCTTAATTAAGCAGTTTAGGTTTAACCCTCTAGGGAAGCTTTACCCCATTTATTCTCATTTATAGATATTCTGATTTGTTTCAATATTTAGTTCTCTAAAACATGCTAAGCACCTTAAATCTCTGTTCCGATTAGTTGTGACCTCGTTGAACCTCTTGCAAACGTTGTTCCCATGGATGCACTTGGCTCAGATTTCAAGGCTTTCCGCTGAATTCCGCCCTCATTGACGAATGCCTTTCCACAATGGTTTTGCAGTGGATTGACGACTATTTTGACACGCCGTGATTGATTTTCTTTTCTAACAAAGGGTCTGTGAAATATGAAGCTCCAAAACTGAAGCAGTTATTGCGCAATAATTTCCAAGAATAACATTCTCTTAGTGATTCTAAAGAGAATCCTTTTAATACCAAAGCCGGAAGGAATGTATGAAACGTAAACGTTCTCGAAACAGTGGGAATGATTTTTCAAGCCTTTCAAGATTGAACGTTTTATACAAGGCTTACGTTTCGGCTTCTTCGTCGGTTGATCCTGGTTCATGAACCATCGCATGGGATCCAAATCAAACAAGTGTTCTCGAAACACTTTTTTGATTTGGATTTCATGCGAATGTTGGTTTGAACCAGGATCAACCGGTACAAAAGAGCGATTTCGAAATTTTTGCACCTCCCCTCCTCCCATTCGGCAGTGCCAATAATATGTTCTTTTGAACCCATAAGGTCTAAGGATTGGGGTTTCCTTCATCACCTTCAACAGCTGTAGAATTTGCAGGACTGGGGCTACGCTCATTTCAATGGAGGTCCAACTCTCATCAATTTGTTCACTAGTATGGTGCTGAAAGTAGCGAATGCGAATCATCCGAAATTACGCAACTTCGAGTGTTTGAATGAACGAAGAAGTATGACCCCTCCTCTCCAAGAAAGTTGCTGTGAACCTTATCCAAGTTTTCGAGAAAATCGTCTCTCGTGGGTGCTGTCGCAAGATACGGGGCACTGTGGTGGAAACACATTCAAAACCCCGTGAAACTTTTTGTCAGCTAACGAATTTAAACTTAGGGCTGACTACGCGGAAGGAGCAAGACCCAAGGTCGCGGAGCACTTTTTATTTCCACAAAAATGTCCTTCATAATCCGCGACTTCAGTTTAGATCGCCCCTAGATTGCTATCTGCGTCTTATCGTATTCAACGAGCTTCCATTTTTGATACACAATAATCATTCAAATGTGTTTCCAGTGATGATGCATATGAGGGTGCACCCCGAAATGATCTGGCAGCTTATTCCACTTTTGCTAGTTCTCTGCTCTTCAGTCATCATCTCAGCGAGAGGGAAACGTGAGTTTCACCTTGCACGACTGTCCTTTATATACTCGGTTTCTAGCCGGATTCAGATTTAGGTGATAACTGCAAATCAGAAAAGCTGAGAGAGTTAGTGTTGGAGAGTGTCGGCGTATATCCACATCAGTACAGTTATCAAGCTAAGTAAGTCAAACGAAAGCTTAGAAAAGTATTATTTAACAAGCTTCAGTTCGCTCTAATTAGGTGGTTGGTTAAGGGATAAAGTTCATTTACTATTTTGCAGGTACTTGAAACAGCAAGCCGAAGAACGATTTGGGAACTTGGTGGAGTGTAGTGATCGTCGGTGACCGAGGAGGTTATGGAATGAGTGCTGTCTACGACAAATTCAGAAACACAAGGTTAGCCCAGTATCACGTTGTGTATCTTCATGAAGATGGCTCCTATTGAGGGGCGCAGCTATAGGGCTAATCTAAGGGGGGCGGAAGTGGTGTAGTGGCAAGTGGCACGCTTACCACGCGAGCGGTCCGGGCCTTCCATCCCTCCGGGGTCGGTTAATTGGTACCAGACTTGTCTGGGAGGATAAAAACACTGACTTGTACATCGGCTGGCCCCCGCAAGTCATTGTATAGGCCACATCGCATTCAAACGCCACTACGAATGTACAAATGGAAGTAGAATGCGTGCCGCATCCCGGCAAATGTTTGATCTTTATCCTTTATCCTTCCCTGGTAAGCCTAGGAGGGGATGAACTTCGGGTAAAATGGAGACTACCAACATACCCTAGACTTTCTCGCCTTCCCTCCCCCCTCCCTCCACCCTCTCTTGGTCTTGGTTCTCAAGCTAAAACTGAACATTCATGGCAAAAAGGAAACAGTTGTTTGCAGCAGTACTGAATGCGTTCCCCCCCCCAAACCTGTCTCCCCCACCCCATCGTCTAGCGATGGTGCATGGTTTTGCCTAGGATAGGTTTAGACGGCCGTCTAAAATTTCTCAGTGCCATTTTTAACCTCCTGAACAGGCGTGTTATACCGTATTGGTCGGCTTTGAAAATTGCCTTTTTAAAATGCCATTGAATAGGCAGTCTATTTAAAGAATTCAAAAGAAAGTTCAGGAGCTTCGTTGCGTTGTACTGTGTTATTTACTCCCTCTGCTCCTCTGGCCAACAAAAAAATTATAGGAAAATAGAGGACAGGCGAGCATGTCGAACGGGAAGGGGGAGCCCAGCCATCTAATGTAGCGAAATTTCCTAATCATTACATCCACTTTGGGCGAGAACCTTATCAATAGCCCATGCACTTGTGCTCGATTCAGAACTTTTGGCTAATCGTTGGCAACGCCCGATATCCGATCAGCACACCCAACATCTACAAGGCTCTCGCTTTTGTTACAATAAAT